AAGGTCTTTTCCAACCTAAACGATTCTATGATTCTGTAACCTGTCCTTTAGAATTAAGAGGTGACCTCCATCAATCACAAATTCTTATTTTATTGAGCAAAATATTTGAACAACCTATTATGACTGCAAAATTGTGACTTAGTTTAAAGGTAAACAGAAAGTTTTTATACAGGAACATTAAAGAATTAAGGCTTTGAAGGAAAATAGTATATGAAGGTGAACATAGAGGCTTTGCAGCCATAAAGGAATTTAGCTCTGACTTGACTGTAATCAAGTTCTTCTGTTAATCTGAAGGGGTGTAGGTTGTTGCCCATGTTAGTTGCTAGCACTTTGGAGATCAGAGTTGCATTACGGCACCGATGAACTGCTCAGAAAGCTGTCTGGTAATCCCTAGCAGCAAACAGAGAAATTGAATGGAGAGAAGCTCTGCACTTGCAGAGAATACTAGGTACAGGTACTCTACGGGAAGAAACACTAGTGCCTGGTGAACCTCTTGCCTCTACTGCTTTCAGGAAGCAATCTCTATGCAGCTGGTGGTTGGTAGCAGCCTGTTAGACGCTGGCTGCATGGGCCCCTCTGCAGAGACCCAAAGGCAGGCTGGGAGTGGGTTTACGTGGCTCTGGAAACCCACACAGTGATCTGGTTTCAGCCAGATTTCAGCAGGGTGTATGTGCACCAGCAGCCCCAAAGCTAACTTAGAAACAAGGCTGGGGCATTGTAATGGAGGTGGAACCAGTGTACTTCTTGGGAGAAGCTGATGTTCAAAAAGATCAGCAGTAGGGGCTGACGTATGGAGTTGTCTGCCCCTTCCCCTTTAGATTAAGACTGCCTCTGTGTGTGAGATGGGATATGCACAGGTACATTGGTGGAATGGGGCTTTCTGCTTGGCTTCCGGCTCCACCTCTGATGGTGACCATGGGGTGGTAAAATGTGCAGTGTTTATTTACCGCGGGAGTGTTACCCCAGCTGCGGCACAGGGCTAGACTTGAAAACCCAGTAGCATTTTAGGAGGTTTGTGAAGACTGCAGTAGCTTACGTAGCTGATGTCTTCACTGGCTTGTTCTAACCCATTTCTGGATCTGTGATATCTGGAATTCCAGTCAAGATCATCTAGTGATTCTAGGTAACTAATCTGGTTATGAAATCTGTGAAAGCAGACTCTGCTGATAGACCTGGGGGCACTATAATTCAGTGAATTAATTGTGGAAGTGAAACTTGAAAAGGATGTTGCGTGTGGACCTGTATTAACCTTCTATGACTTGCTTGAAGTAATTGCCTTGCAGTGATACCATGGTCTTCTGTATACCTGTGGTGGTACAGCTTAGTATCAGACCTGCCAGAGTCAGCAGGAAGGTAGGGAATAAGTAGTTTTCTGACGAGCGTGAAGAGGAAGCTAGGAAATACAGCCTGCATTACTGAGTTCCCATGCGGACATGGGTTGCAGCCCTTCACATACAGGAAGGGCCCCTGGAGGCTGCCTGAAGGAGAGGGACCTGTCTGGGAAGCTCGGCCTTTCTGAGCTTCCAGGTCATCTCATGTGTGCTAGTTTAACATTTTACTCATCATTGCTATAAACCCCCATTTCTCTCATGCCTTGTGTCCCTGCTGGTAAAAGTAAGCAGCAGGAGAAGCTGGCTGGGCACTGTGCTTGCCAGCGATAGCAGCGCCCAAAGGGAGAACATGGGGTACTGAGCTTGCCCCTTGCAGCTGAGGAGGTACCAATAGGAGAAGTTGCAATGGCCCGCTCTCTGAGGTGAACCCACGTAAGACCTCACCCACGTGCATAATGTGAAGGGGCACACTAAAATCCTGCAGACCAGAGGTACAGGCGCTTCTGGAACAAAGCTTTGAGTGTGTTATATCCAGTCCCTCCTCATTCACCTACTCCTTAAGCAAGGGCTGCCGAGTCACTTAGGGTGACAGTACTTCAGCATCTAAAGAAGCACACATCACTTTGGAAAAATCTACCATTTTTGCTAATTAACTTCCAATTTTAAGGAAAAAGAGATTGTAAATTAATTTTTTTTAACCTGGTAGCTTCTCTGGACCTCAGTTTCAAGAGTTGCAAGCACTAGGTATATTACCTGTGAAATACAGGTAACATTTTATTTCACGTTATTGTAAGGCTGTCATGGTTTAACCCCAGCCAGCAAGTAAGCACCATCCAGCCGCTCAGTCACTCCCCCTCAGTGGGATGGGGGAGAGAATCAGGACAGTAAAAGTGAGAAAACTTGTGCATTGCACGAGATAAAGACAGGTTAATAGGTAAAGCAAAAGCCACACATGCAAGCAAAGCAGAACAAGGAATTCATTCACTACTTCTCATCGGCAGGCAGGTAAGCAAGGCTCTGTCATGCATAAGTTACTTGGGAAAACAAACACCATCACTCCAAACATGCCCCCTTCCTCCTCCTTCCCCAAGCTTTATATGCTGAGCATGTCATCATGGTATGGAATACCCCTTTGGTCAGTTGGGGTCAGCTGTCCCTGCTGTGTCCCCTCCCAACTTTTTGTGCACCCCCAGCCTACTCGCTGGTGGGGTGGGGTGAGAAGCTGAAAAGGCCTTGACTCTCTAAGCAGTGCTCAGCAGTAATGAAAACATCCCTGTGTTATCAGCACTGTTTTCAGCACAAATCCAAAACATAGCCCCATACTAGCTACAATGAAGAAAATTAACTCTATCCCAGCCAAAACCAGCACAAAGACCTGTGATGTACATAATCATAAAAGAAATGTCGCTACAAGTAACCCGTGGCAAAGACAGGAGGCTAGTGCTCAGCATTGCTAGAGACAAACTATATGCGATCACATGCAATTAACTATTCACAAATGTGACATCTTTGAGACACATAAAAACGCATGTACATCAAACTCGTAATTTCATGCAGTCTGAACTTTCAGGATGTGAAATTGCACAAAACAGAATGCACATAAGAAGATGAAGAGGCTCTTTCCATTTTACACAAGTACATTTGTTTCTTTGTTAGATATTTCAAAAATAAGTAAACCTTGGGAATTAAATGTTTCTTTTGGATCTAAAAGGAATGTGTATAATCAGTGCTGCTGTTCATACATGACTAGTAAGTTTCACAGAGACTGTGTATCTTTAAAATGCCTACAGGAATAAGAGCAAGTCACAACAGCCATAAAATGTACCCATACCTGTGTGACACTGTCATAGACTGTTTTAGACTGCAGAGCGGGCAGCACAATGCTGCAAGCTGGCATTGCGGAAAATGCATGCTCTGAGTACTTCTCTTGCATTTGTGATGGCTGATGAAAGCTTTAAGCATCAGCAGGCGCTTCCAGTGTTTCACAGGGCAGGTGACGTACGTGAAAAGCAGACCGGGTAACCGTGTGTTTGGTGCAGTCTTTCAGCCTCTTCTTCAGCTGCGGGTGCGGCTCCACTGGCTCACCAAACTCCGTGATGGCTAGCCCGGTGCCAAACCGTGCTGAGTGCGTAAAGGTGCTGGGGTTTGCTGTGACTTCTGCCACGGCTGCCCGCGGCTGGGGATGTAGCTCCACGTGGCGTGGCATGGCTGTGCTCCAGCTAACAGCCTCCCAGCAGCTGCAGCAAACATCCACTTGGAAACATGTGGAAACAAGTTCCACGCCATGTGCGAGTCCCTTAGCCCAGTAACTGGAAATGAAGTGCCAGCACTGTGTCACCATCCAGGTTTCTGTTCATCATCACAAAGCACTGCAGAGGTACAGACCTTAGCCTGAACACCTTTTGCTGTTTTTTCAGTTAGAAGCAAAGGATGAGAGAACATGCCTGTGTAGGCATTTGTAAGATGTTTCTGACTAGCCTCTGTAAAATAATGAACTGTATTTAATCTTTAGGAATTTCATTTTAATGTGTCTACAACAAAAAAAAAAAATTATTAAAATAACCTCTCTTTCTCTCTTCCTTCCAGTCTATAATTCTTATATTTAATGGCACTTTGTTTCAATAATTGCTTTCACACAGAAAATATTACAACACAAATAACAACCAAAACAATACTCTCATTATTGTCTAGGCAGCTCAGTGAAAGCTCTGAGAACTCATTAAAATACACTTTTCATGCAATTTGCATTACAATAATGCAGATTAAGTCTCTTGAAAAGTAGACATGATAAAGAAGTCAAATGTATTTCCAGAAATTTGCCCAGTCTGTTTAGCTGTTATGTTAATCTCATTATTTTTCATAATCAAAACTTTAAATCCTGAACAGATTATTTTTTTCCCTACAGGAAGGCAACATAAATTAGGGTATACTTCTGAATTTTTTTAATATCAATACAATACAAAATACAGGGGATAGTATGACCATCTTTGCGGTCTCTAAGACATTTCTAGGTAATAATGCTGCTATGATTCTATGATTTTATAAGCAGGAAAAACAGTTTGCCACAGTGGACAGTTATCTCAGTATATGTCCTTAAACTGAAAGGGAGATTGGTTGTTTTTTAAGAATAGTTGTAGTTCATGTTTTCTGTTCACTTCAGTATCTCTTTTTCTGTGACAATTATCATCACTCCTGCCAGACTGCTGACTGAGATGAGAAAAGGGTCATCTTCAGTTTAGTCCTCTCCAACAAATGCAAAAATCTATCTGTGCTTATGTACCCGCCTCACATGTTACCTCTCTTCTTTCTGCCTGTGCAGGTAAAACACTTGCTGGAAATAGTCTTAAGGGCAGTAGTGGCTTTTCCTTGTAGGAAAGGTGTGGTAATGTTAGAGTACGAATACAACGTATGCGTATTATAAATAGTGTAATACCCGATTTCAAAGAATAGAATCTGTTTTCAAGGAGTTGAATGCTTTGAGGAGTTTAGAAACGGAATAGTAGGGACAGCTACCAGTAACTATTTCAAAGCAAGCTTTAAATTCCGTATTTTTCAGTGGGGGGATGGAAATCTGATGCTTTACTGGTAGTAGGAGCCAATTCATGTTTTATTTTCTAGATATCCCATTACATTAGTATGTTTTGAGTATACTTACTTCACACTTAATTTTATTCTTTCAAATGTGCATACAGAGAGTAGGTGGGGTTTACCTCATTTAAATTTAGATACAGCCAACCCTGTTTGTTTGGCTTTTTAAACCTTTTTCTTGTTTGAAAATAAGACTCTTTTTATTGTATTATTTTCAGGGGGAGGAGGGGTAGTTACTAACAATTTTGGGTATTGAATTAAGTAATTTTCATCTTCTTTTTTTGATATTGACAACATTTAAAGCATCTGGATCCTTTTAAAGGCTGGTCTGAGAACAGCTACGCTAAAAGGAACCCGTTGGTTAAAGCAAGCTCGTCAATAACTCTGCTTCTGCTCTCCAAGTGTTGCAGGTGGAGAGCTCTTCGACTTCTTAGCTGAGAAAGAATCTCTCACGGAGGAGGAAGCCACAGAATTTCTCAAACAGATACTTAATGGTGTTCAGTATCTCCACTCTCTGCAAATTGCCCACTTTGATCTTAAGGTGTGTTGAGCAGATAAAAACTTCAACAACTGTCAGCAACATCCGTTAAAAGTCCCTTGTAACACCAGCCACAAATTTGCCATCATGCAGATCTTGGCTGTAGTTTTGTTTTGCTAGTTTATGTAGACAAGGGGAAAGCTCAGCCGTTAAAAAGGAATTACTGAACTGTAAATAGTTCCCACCTGTTTTTAATGTAAGATTCTTCAAGGAAAATGGCAATTTCTGACAAAATTAAACTTCTGACAAAATTAAACTATTCTGAGGAAGCAATCTTGAAATAAAAATTATGATTATGATTTTATGGAATGTGAATGGGATCTGGATGAAACATTCTGAATGGGATGCCTTTTTTCCAACTTTTTTTTTTGCTGTGGTATACGTTTTATGTTCATATGAACATTATAGGTACTAAATTGAAATAGTACAGAGTTAAGTACAAAGATTCTTGTGGAGCAGACAGAGCAGATAATTTCCTCTTCTTTCTTTGCTTTTGGGGCTTTTTTTGTTTGTTTTTAGAAAAACTGTTAATTGCATCCTTTTGGTAATGAAAAGAGAGCTTTTGTATCTAAACTCAGTTACTGCTTTTTTAATGTTTCGCTTTCAGAATGTTTTCCTCTGTAAGATTTTTTTTCAGAGGTAGGCAGCTGAACATTCCCTGAAGTCTGCTGAACTTGGCAGCTATGTCTATAATAGGGAAAGGAGGCATAATTATTATATTACAGTGCAGTTGTGAAAGAGGTACTGTGTTCTGGGGATGAGGTAGGGAAGGGAATGCTTTTCAGGGTAAGCATACATTTTCCAGTCTCATCCTCATTACCTACAGTAATATATTTGATCTTCGTATGACAGTCAGCAAGAGAAAAGAATTGTGAGTCTAGTAAGTACATTTCTTACAATGTGAAATGTAAATTTTTGCCAATGTGCTTGTAATAAAACAAAGCATCCTTACACTGGATACCAAGAATATGTGAATTAAAGTATGGAGCAAGAATTAAAGTATGCAGAACAAAAGTATGCAATAGAAGTGTAGGGAGGGACGGAAGAAAATTACATTTGCACATACCAGCCCCTGTAATTGGAGAAGAGAGGTAAAAGAAGGGTGATGGTGAAGAGCCGTCCTTAATGACTCCAGAAGTCCTTAACAATGTGAGCAGGATGGATGTAGCTCCAGGAATTCTTCAGAGCACATCTGCTTATGGACACGACAGGATATGGAGACTAAGTAGCTGCTTCTGTGTGCTAGTTAAAGCGATGGAGTGCAGAAGCAGTCTCCTTTGATGATAATCTTGACATTTTATCTTCTTTGTTCTGGTTTTGCAAATCTTTGTTGTAAAATAATCCAAAAGTCCATATTTTAAAATATAGCTAGAAAAGACATGAGAACCTGCTCTTTATCCTTTTTTGTAAGTATGTTGAGCCTTAAAATCTGGGAGCTGGACCACTCCTAAGGTTTCTCTTGGGGATCCAAAGGCAACAAGGTATACCTCCCTGATTGCTAGTGCAGTGTGAAAGAAGCCTCTTTCAGGGAGCAATGTTAACCAAGCCCAGATATCAGTTTATAGGACTTTGTTTCTTGCAAGCTCCCAGCGCTGTTTGAATGGCCATAGCTCAGGGGCTGTGGTCTTTATGGAAGACAGAGTGTTTCACTTAGGGTCAGTCCACATGAAAACTGCAACTGCTGTATCTACAAGAGGTAAAATCTTGGCCCTGTGGAAATCATAGCACTCTGCATCAACATGAAATCCTAACTTACTGTAGCTAATTTTTAGCATATGTTAGATCATAATAGGAAAAGGTGGGATTCTTCTGCTGAAGACACAATTCAGGAGGCTGAAGGAAGTCAAGAGAAGTGTTCAGTGCTGAAGAATGCAGATATGTGTCAGACATTTTGTATCTATGTATAATCTCTCTTTTTCTCCCCTTTCCTCCTTCTCAAAGCCTGAAAACATAATGTTGTTGGACAGGAATGTACCAAAGCCTCGAATCAAGATTATTGACTTTGGTCTAGCACACAAAATTGACTTTGGAAATGAATTCAAAAATATCTTCGGAACACCAGAGTTTGTTGGTGAGAAAATGTTGTTTCTTCAAACTTTCTTTCTCAGTCTGTGAAACAGTATATGTGGTTTAGCTTGGTTTGGCTAAGTTACAGATTATGTAATTTGTGTGTAGTTCATGACATTTTGAAGTTTAAATGAGCAATTTGTAGCATTCAGTTCAACTTAGACTTGCATTAAGGTGTTTCTATCTGTCAGCATCTTAGCTTATTATCTCTGACATATGTAGGCTCAGAGTGACATAGATCTGTTCTTTGACTAGGTACTGATCTTCCTGCTTTCTCCTTTAGCTCCTGAAATAGTAAATTATGAGCCTCTTGGTCTTGAAGCAGATATGTGGTAAGTTATTGGATCTTACTTGAAATAAATCTCTCATGATTATTCTTATGTTCTAACCTTTTTTTTTTTTCTCTCCTCTCTCCCTCCATCTGTTTTTCTCCCCTCCATCTCCCCCTCCCCTACCCCTTCACTCCAGGAGCATTGGTGTAATAACTTACATTCTGTAAGTACCAAAACATATGGGTGGTTCTTGCAAATGCTGGGTTTTTAATTCTGATTCTATCCTTCAGTTTTGGGGGTTGTCTATATAAGTCAAGCCATTTTGATTGCACATCATGATTCAAGTTGAATGATCATAAAAGCAATAGTATAATTACTGAAAGAATAGCCATTCATCAGCATTGAGATAGCATGTGAAGCTGTCTTCAAATCTGTAGGTGACTTTCCACAGCGGCTTTATCTCTAATCAATATTCTCTGAGATTACAGCAAAGCTTTTTGCCCTGCTAGATCACATCTTCCTGAAAGTACATTTGCAGTCTTAAAGCAGAAAAGAAAAATCTTCACTTTCTGCTGTTATTTGATCTCTGAGGGTTGAAACAGCAATGTTACAACATGTAATGAGAGGAATGTCTTTCTTGCAGTCTAAGTGGTGCATCGCCATTTCTTGGAGAAACCAAACAGGAAACATTAGCAAACGTGTCTGCTGTGAATTATGAATTTGAAGACGAGTTCTTCAGTAATACCAGTGCCCTAGCTAAAGATTTTATACGAAGACTTCTAGTCAAGGATCCAAAGTGAGTTGTTTCTCTTCTGTATGCACTGTCTCTGGTATTTCAAATTACATGATATTTTGAGATGTTAGTTTAGTAAACGTATGGCAGTATGTATTTTTTACTATCTGAAACAGTTCTGTCTTCTATTCTATTAAAGGAAGAGAATGACTATTCAAGACAGTTTGCTGCATCCTTGGATCAAGGTTAGCATGTAATTCATTCTCTGTTGTCCTGTTTTTAACCATTCTTCATTTCACACTTTGCTTTCACTTTTCAAGTTCCTTAACAAGAAAAATTGGCATAATCCTTTAATATCACTTACTGTTTCAGAGAGCTGTCTGAATGAAAACTAATACGTGCAGAATGTGGATTTCATTAATATATCCTCTGTATAAGTTAGCAACAGGGAAGTAGCCCACTATTGAGATTAAAATTATGCTCAGGCAGAGAATCTAATCTTCAGGGAGCATTACACTGACAAAGATATATTCTCTGAATCCCGTCCAATTTCCTCTCACATTTTTCATCTTCTAATCTCCTTAGATTAGAATTATTTAGACTGGGCAAAAAAGGGTTGTCTCTTTTCTGTCCTTCCTCTTTTGACTGAAGAAAGCGGTTGATGCGGAGCGGTGGTCCACTTCTTTCAGCATTCCACAGTGTTTAGTTTGGATCAAGCTGTTGTGGTGCTACTAGGCTGAAAGGGAGCAAATGGGACCTATCATTCTTGTTAATGTGTGTAGTAATACCTGTCATGTAATTTTTCCAATTTTTTCAATTCTATATCACATTCTGATTATGAATAGTCTAAAAGGAAAAAACAAATTTTAGTATTGCATGAGATGTTCTAAGGTCTGGATTTCCTTTATGGCATTTTCTCAAGAATTCCATCTGCATGCCCCACTAGGCTGTGGATATTAAAATGATGTGCTTACAATTACTTTATTACTACAGTATGATTATAGTATTACTATATAATGTAAGTGGAAATCATCACTGAAGGACAGAGTCTTACATACAGGAAGGTTCTTTATGAAAGTTCTGGTTGTAATTGTGGGATATTTTACAACAGCTTTATTTTCCTTTTGCGCATAGCCTAAAGATACCCAGCAAGCACTTAGTAGAAAAGCATCTGCCGTGAATATGGAGAAATTCAAAAAGTTCGCAGCACGACGAAAATGGAAAGTAAGTCATTCAATAAATCTTCAAAATGTTGGTGACATACAATGCAGTAGTGTTACCTGCTCCAGGGAAACATCAGTGCCTTTAAGAGTGGAGAAGAAAGAAGAAGAAACCCATTCCTCTGTCACTTGGAATAAATTAGGTGCTTGAGTATGGTGGTATGGCAGAAGGCTTCTTTATTAATGATCTGCATATAAATGCTTGTGTGTGGATTGTTTGATTTATGCATCTAGCTGTATGCTGTCATCATCTGTCTTGGTAATGTTTTCAGAGAAAAGGCACTTCTAAGTGTAAGTACCTGGTTTTGTGACAGTAATCCCAGAAAACAGAATCATAGAATCATTTAGGTTGGAAAAGACCTTT